AATAAAAAATCAGTTGTTTCCAAATGATGGCATCCGGCCCACTTTTGATAACTACCCTATGATGCAATAATAACATTTTGGACAACGTCTACTCTACACCGAACCTCTGTGACCGAACGCACTTCACTAATCTAAGATTATTACTAGTATATTAAGTATGCTCTCACTTTATAAGAGAAGGTAGGAGACTGCCGCTCGCAAACGACACACATCCCCGACACTGTTTTCATCCCAAGGATAGTTTCCGCGAGACTGTTTCATTATTTGTTGTGTCTGCTCTACTTTCAAAATACGAATGCCAAAATAGCCGCTACTGCCGTGAAAAGTGTCAGCTTGTATTGCGATCAACCAGCAACAAGTAGCCACTCAAATATGCAAAAGTAAATTTAACTCACCGTTAAAACGCGCAGATCGATCTATTCCATTTCTACGTAGAAAACATTCGCTTTACACAGCGAGTAGACTATTATTATTGCCTTAGTCATAAAAGAATTTCAAGGTTCTCTTTATTTCTCGGTTTCCTGCTTATTTAGTGAATTGATTCAAGGACGCACTTCCGTACTGGTAAATATCTCGAAGGAAAACAGATTGTCTGAGAATTTATCCTTCAAAACAGGAATTTTATATCCACCATACATTTACATGTTAGAGTAGCCCAACATAGCCATAGGTATTAGGTATGGGGGAGGGGATTAGGAGAACTGAAAGAGATAAATATGCCCGACGTTGATGACAGTTGCCCGATAAATACAAAATTTTGGCGTCATAATCTTTTCATAAATTCAATTTCCCACATTTTATTCAATATTTTTCTTTTCCAACTTCAAAAATACCCAAACTTCAAGTTACATTTTGCTGTTTAAAGACCATGTCAAGTCCGTAATGTAAACAAATCCTTTGTTTACATTTTGAACAGCTATATTTGTAAAATAAGACATACTAACTGAATATCTAACACTTTTCTGGTTCGCAATGGACCATTCCCCCAATTAACCAAAATTTTGATCTCAACAAGTCTAGACAAAATTCCATCATAGCTGCGCATGAAAAAGCATCACAAAATTAGTAATATTCCAGAGTTTCGTTGCAAAATGTTGTAAAATGCGGATAATATAGCCTTGCGAAGTTTGTAATTTTCAGTCAGTTGGTTAGCGTCCTTAGCTTTTGCCAAAAAGTGGGCGGGCGGGCGCTTTTTTTTTTAATTTTTACTAATTTTTAACGCCTTGGTTTTACTCACTGTTAGGTCCGAAACTGGATTTTCTTACGCAGTACAGATATTTTT